AACCAGACCACTCCCTGAGGAGAAAGCACCACATTCGAATGTGCTAACAGTTTTAAAGAAGCTTTCATAGGAACAGAAAGAAGAATACCGTGGTTACAGCAAAGCTGGAAAGCCTCTTGTATAAGCCTTGGATGTTATTGGAAGACATTATTAGCCTGGTTAGGTTTTTTTTTTTTTTGTACTTTCCAAAATGAATTTTTACCTGTTGGTCACAAGGCTATCAGGTCAAACACAGATCTGGGGAATAAGTGGTTATCTAGAGGGCTTGGATGCCCAAGATAACTTATTTCTGGACCTGTGACCTCCCAGCTCTGAGAACTTCAGTTCATAAATGATTGTCCCTTTGAAGTGGAGTTGTGATTTTGTTTTCCTTTTCTATCTAACCAGATGTTCTTGTTCCCTCTCTCCCTCCCTCCTTCCCTCCCTCCCTCCTTCCCTTTCTCCCTTCCTTCTTCCCTCCTTCCCTCCCCCCTCTCGTCTCTCTCCCCTCTCCTTTCTCTTCTCGTTCTATTCCACATGCTCTCATGCCTGCCTTCTCTCTCATGCTGGGCCTGGACCCCAAGGGTGTGTGGATAGTATACAAGTGTCCTACTGCTGAGCTACAGTTGTATCTCTGGCAGAAATGCTAATTTTCTCTTTTATATTTCTCTCCCTCTGCCACACTTAACAGATATCATTTTATAATCAGATTGCTGTCAGTACTATGTTCCTTCTTTACTGTCCTTTCTCTCTCTTCCAGGCATCCCACTGGCTATGTCCTCCTGTGTGTGAATGTAGGTTTAACACACAGAGATGGTCTTTGAGTGTGGGCTGAAGTAAGATCTTCCACGTCACCAGTGCCTTTCCAGGGTTGGGAGCCCCTGGGCAGGGTAGACATCTTGAAGCCCTGAAGAGGAAGCAGCTCATCTTTATGACTGACTTACAGCTTTTTAAAACTGGAGTTTATAACTATTGTTCTTTCATTGCACCAGGGCGTGTTTGCCTTTCCTAGCTTCTAGGGCTAGGTCGGCTGGAATCTAAACCTCAGGCAACGGAGTCTAACTTACAGTAGGCAGAAGAACAGGGAGGATGAACTGGAATTCCTCAGAAACTGGGCCTTGAGCAGGGGACTCCATCAGGGATGTGCCAGGCAGGCCTTATCACAGGGCACCTTGGAGAAGTTACACATGGCACAATTCGGGGTTTACTTCTCAGGTTCTCTCTAGTCACCCTAGTAGTTGGGTTTGACCAATCCCTACAGCATTCAGCTCTCTGACTATCAATAAAACATATTTAATGGACACCTTCTCAGGGTTAGCAACCAGGCTGGGCCTACAAAACACAGTGGAAAGGAAAAATATACCAATCAATTTCTGGATATGGCTAGGGTAGGCACTACCAGATAGTTCTGCTATTTGTTTCTTTGCTCCCTCACTCTGCCTCTCCCTCCCTTCCTCCCTCCTATCCTCTCCCTCCCTTCATCTTCAGTCTCTTATCCTTAGACTGATAGTATTTTATTTCCCCTGTATCAGTAGTTTCTATTTCTGATGTTTCAGTTACCTATAGTCAACCTTGAACTTGAAATATTACATGGAAACATAGTCAGAAAGAAAGAACAAGATCGGTGGAACAGAGACACCACATTTAAATAGCATTTTATTGTGATGTACTATAACTGCTCCTTGTTCTTAGTATCTGTGCCTGGAGAGGAGCTCTTCTCCTTCATGTATTTACAGGATAAAAAGCATTCAATAGAGTGTGCTACTCTCTATGATTTTAGATATCTCTGATGATCCTGGAATGTCACTCTGCTGGATAAGAGGGGACTTTTATAACAGGTACTCAAAATTTTCTGAAAACAATATTTCCCTGACAGTTGAAGGAAATAGTTTATTCCCTAAGAAATATGAAAATAAAGAAGAGTTTTGTTTCTGGTTCTTCCATGTGTTGTGTTGGCATCATTATTACTATGGTTACAGTGAGCATTTGGAGGAGGACTTACTCACCATGTGTCCCTCCATGCTCACATTTCATCTTTCCCAAGATGTTCAGGAAAACCTCAACCCCATCTGTCATCTAGGGGCACAGGGTCTGAAAATTCCTCTCCCTGGGCCTCAGTCTTTTATGCACAATGAAGGATGACAGGAAAGAGTCCTCATCAATGTCATGATGGGTAGCTTGAATCCTCAGCGGAGATGATGGAGGTGAAGTATACAGCTCAGCACTCTCTACTGTAAACCCCACACAGCCAATTGACTCACAGCTGACCCTCTGCTGCTTCTCATTTTTACCAACGTGTACAAGTCAACTTATTGTCCTGCTATGGCAAAGTTAAACTTCGAATATATATTTGCTTAGTTTCTGACTCAGCAAAGAAATCTATCAAGTCACTAATGACTGAATCTAACACTGTCAGGTTGCTATTTTTATGTTAATGAGTCAGGGAACAGTAAAACAAGAGAGATATATACCAAAATTTCATCCTTGAGGACACTAGTGACATTTGCTGAATCAGGTTACCAGTTTTTGAATATTCTTGCCATTATTGTTTGGAGACAGGATCTCACTGTGCACCCCACAATGGGCTCAAATGTGTCACTATCCTATTCCTGTGTCCCAAGTGCTGTGATCATAGGTGTGTATTACTACACCAGCTCCCTCAAATTTTGATTCTAACATAATGGTTGGAATAATTATGGCAGATTTTTCAGATTTAATCTGTATTATCAATATTTTTCTGTTGTTTTCTTTGTAAAGGTTTTGACAACCAGGCAGCAATGGACAAAGTTCAGAGTTGCAGTGTCTCAGTTATCACAGTAGACATACACTGTGCATATGGTTTGAAGCTGCTGTCATCAACTTTCTAAACATTCAGTTGGGAAGAGATGGGAGGTACCATTCCTTAGACAGAACTTATTCATAGCATGTTGGAAAGAGAGAGATGAGAGGTACCATTCTATACATACAACATACTCATGGCAAGCTCAGGGGTCATGGAAGAGCCAATTGCAGACAGATAATTAATATCTGAAGGGTATTGAATATGCATTACTTTTGTTTTTAATATATTTTTACTTATACACTTAAATAATTCAACTAATAATGGTATTCTTTCTAACTGGAGATTCCTGAAATTTTAGTGGTTACCTCTTGGGACCCAGATATAGTATAAGCACACTCTCAGACTCTCTCTTCCATCTTATTGGCAAAAAACTAAGCAGGCTTTTATCCTTCTCTAGTCATGGTCTGTTCACAGTACCTACCCTGGCAGCCTTTGTAGGCATATCTAATGAAGAATAGTACATTGCTGTGTGCTGTCTGCCGCCTCATTTGTAACCTCTTAAAGGGCTTTGTCACAGTTATCTGTGAGTTTTTAGTCTTCAACATAGGACTTTCCACATAGTAAATTCTTCATTACTGATGAGTGGCTAAGTTTTATAGTATAGGGAGTTGTTGAGAGAGATATTTAAAATGGTGGCTCTGGCTCCCAATCTGGCTTGTTCTTAATCAGCCGCCATCTTCCTGACTAGACAAACTTGTGGTCACAAGCTGCTGGCGTACTCACTGTCACTTGGCTCAGGCCACTAGCTCAGCCACCCACAAGAAGCCAGTGTGGAAGATTGCTCTGCCAGGCTTCCACGCTGTCTCCACAAGGCTGGGCTGGGCCCAGACCATCCTGCCATCTATGCGGTACCTGGTAGAAATGAGACTGTAATGCTTAGATTATCCAACAGCTTTATAAGTTTGATAATGCTCAATAAACAAGATGCCCACACAATTGGAAGTGTTAACCAATTAACTAACCTAGATATAAGTTGTTACCCAGGACTGCTCTCAATACATGCGTGGTCATCCATGACTCCTACATCTCTGCCTCCTTAGCTCCTCCTCTTTCTTCTCCTCTTCCTCTCCTTACACCTCTCACCTTAGCTCCTCCCACTTGTGGGGAAAATATGCCGCTATAGGGAGTGACCAAAATTCTCTGTATGGCAGCAGAGATCACTTCACACTACCACAAATAAGATGTTACAAAGTGAGCCTATTAATGTATTACTATTTCTTCTCTTAACTCTTTCTATTTTTCACCTGGAAGAGATTGTATAGTCTATGTTAGTTGTCCATCACTCCATGACAATTATTGTAGCCTTTAAAATACATATATATATATATATGATGCATAGCATGTGTGCACTGTGTGTCTAGATGCACATATGCAGGTCAGAGGGCAACTTTGCTGAGGTGGTCATCTCCTTTCGCCTTTACTTGGGTCCCAAGGATATAAAGCAGGTCTTCTTTCTGGCTTTCATGGTGTGGCCTTTTACCCACTGGTCTAAAGAATTGTTATTCTAAATGGTTCAAAGAATCACACATTTATTGCATCATAGTTTCTTGAGACAGGCACATTCTCACTGGATCGTATACTTAGCATCAAGGCTGCGATCATGGCATTAGTTGGATTGAGCTACAGTCTCATTTCTACCAGGAGACTCACCTGGGGAAGAGTTCATTTCCAAATTCATTCATGTTCTGTGACAGGCTAACATATATCTTGAAGTGTGACTGAAGGTCCCAGATGTCTACTTGCTGTCGGCTGGAAACTATGCTCAGGCTGAAGAGGTTGGGACTATAACTCTTTGCCAGGTAGGCTTTGTGGCATGGCTGTTTACTTCACCCAACAACAAGAAGCATCTCTAAACCTAGGGAGGGTATAGTTCCATATTTAAGAGCATTCAGTAAATTAATCCAAACTCACTGAATGATCTCTTTTCTGGTTAAGTACAAATAAACTGAAATGTGGTACTAATAAGAAAAATCCTTTCGACTTTGTCCTATACTGGAAGCCAAAGTTCCCACCTATGCTCACAGGAGGGGCTTATGTTCGTTAGGTAATGGAAGTCACTGGAAGTCACCTTGAGGCTTGCCATGTCACTTGGTATTAATAGCTTAGCTCTTGGCAGAGCCTCCTAGGCATGTTCACATATTCTAAGAACATTTTATTTTTCCTTATCAGATGATGGTTCTCTATGCTAGTATTTATCTGATGCTGATGCTAGAGGCCAAGTGGTTTCACTGGTGCCCAGAATGTCTGGTAGAGCCAAAATCCTTTTCTGCTTTTTGGGCAAGTCAAAGGTGAGTGTACTGTGACCTCTTGAAGCCATAGGAAAAGAAGAGATTTAAAAAATGCCTTAGGGCAGGAGCGATGATCAGATGACAGCTGATTCCTCTTGATTTTATCAAGAGATAAGAGGGGGTTGTGGGAAGATGACACAATGGAAGACATAGGAGCTCGTCTGGACCTTCTCTGGCACCCATTGTTGTACTGGGCAGGCAGGAGACCCCTCATCTACGTCTACAGATCTCTCTCACAAAAGATAGTATAGTTTAGGGAAGATTTCAAAAGCAATAAGTTTGAGGTTGGGAACTAAAGAGGAAGATCTCAGACATTCTTTTTTTTTTTTTTTAGATTTTTTTATTGGATGTTTTATTTACATTTCATATGTTGTCCCCTTACCCCATCCCCCACCCACCCAAGAACCCCCTATCCCCTCACCCCTCCTCCTTCTTCTCTGTGGATGTAACCTCTATCTACCCCCCCACTCCCACCTCCCCACCCTCAAAATTCCCACCCCCTGGGGCATCCAGCCTTCATGAGGTCAAGGTCCTCTTCTTCCACCTATGCCCAGCAGGGCCCTCCACTCTTATGTATTCAGCTGAAGCCCTGGATCCCTCCCTAAGTGCTCCCAGGCTGGTGGTTTAGACCCTGGGAGCTATGGTTGGTTGGTATTGTTGCTCTCCTCATGGTGCCGCAAATCCTTTCAGCTCCTTCAGTCTTCACTCTAACTCCTTCATTGAGAACCCCATGATCAGTTCAATGGCTAGTTGTGAGCATCTGCCTCTGAATATGTCAGACTCTTGAAGACCTCTGAGGAGACATCCATATCAGGCTCTTATCAGCATGCACTTCCTGACTTCCACATCAGCATCTACCTTTGGTGACTGCACATGGGATGGATACTCAGGTGGAATGGTCTTCAGACGGCCCCTCCTTCAGTTTCTGTCCCTCACTTTGTCTCCATATTTGCTCCCTTGAGTATTTTGTTGCTCCTTCTAAGAAGGACCAAATCACCCCCACTTGGTCTTCCTTCTTTATGAGCTTCATGTGGCCTGTGAGTTGCATCTTGGGCATTTCAAGGTTCTGGGCTAATATCCAATAATCAGTGAGTGAATACCATGTGTGTTCTTTTGTGATCCCAGACATTCTTAATGGAGCAGGTAGAGAACATTCTAGATGCAAAGATAAAGTATGTTAAATCCCAGACTGGGAAAATTCTTGGTTGTGGCCTAGCCATGAGGAAAGAGTGCTGGTGAGAAGGCCAGCAGGCACCATGTAGACTATTTGGGAGAAGGAGCTCAGATTTGGTTGACTGATCCTGGAAGATGAGGGGAAGGTGGTTATTGCATCAAAAATGACTCAGATAGCCACCCGAGAGCTGGCTAGAACCTCCAGGTATTGGAATGGCCTGCAAACCCTTATGTCCCTAGACCTTTCTTTTGGTAAGAACCAGCAGCATGATGACAAATAAGCTCCTATTCATTTCTCTCAAAGCCCCTGTTGGTAGCTTTAATTGATGTCTGTGCTGTAGTTACTCTCACTGTGGCCAATACCAAGCCATCAATCAGTTCTCAATAATACTAAAAAGTCAGCTATTGTGAGCCAGTAAAGGATCTCTCTTTTACAGAAAGCCATCACAAGGTCTCATTATATCCTGTCTTGGGAACACTGGCCAGAGGGCGGCATTGACACTTGAGTGGCCCTTCTCAACCCTGTCCCACAGCTACCTCAAGTGGAAGCCACAAGGGAAAACACAGCCTCCCATTGCTGAGTGTTCTCAGGGCTTACTGTTCCATAGGCTTAATGACAGTTGTCTAATTACGTCTTAGGAGCTCACTCCAAGCTCCAGTGACATTAATTGGTCTTTATAAAGCATTTTGGAAAAGCAGTCTGTCATAAGAAACCTTAATCTAGAGAGCATGTCTATCTAGCAAAGCCCAAAGCAGAAAGGAATGTGATTCAGCCCAAGAGTAAGCAGAGTAGCTCATAAGTCGTCACTGCCCAGCCAATCCTCCGAATTCCATCAGATGACGCCATTTTGAGACCTTGGTTTCAAGGCCTTCAAAACAGTGTTTTTGGATTTCCCCACTCCAGGTGAAGATACTCTTTATTTTTGTGTGTGTTTGTGTATGTATGTTTATACTGTGTAAACACACTGTGTAAATGCATGTGTGCACATGTCTGAAGGCTGAAATCCATAGGTATTATCCTTCTATTACTCCATTCATTTATTGAGGTAGGATCTCTCACTGAATCCAGAGCACACCAATCCCAGCTGGTCTAGGTAACCAGCTTATCCCTCAGATCTTTAGTCTTTGCCTTCTGAGGGCCAGGATTACAGGTAGCTACACCTGGCCAGGTTCTATATGGGCTCTGGAGACCTGAACTTGGGTTCTCATACCTGTGCAATCAACACTTATCCACTGAGATATCTTTTTAGCCCAAAGGCAGTGTTTCTATGGTGAGGAGACTGAGGTATAGAGAGGAATGATAAACAGACAGACTGGGAATGGAGGAGACAAGCCCTGCTTGCTGGAAGATATCACTAAATAGACATTTACCTCTTCCTTTATGTTGTCTGTAAACACTGCCCAGGGGCTCACACCGCAGGTGCTTACACTCACTTCCATACTGTGGCTATGGAAAATCACCTTGGCAGGCAGTTGGGTGCTGCTGTCAAGGTAAATCTTCACTTTCATTCTCACATCAAGGATCATAATAAATCTGCCTGGCTTTTGCTAGAAAGATCCTAATGCCTTAACCGTAGTGTTTGGCTTTCCCTTTAAGGGCCATCCTAGTCAAACCAGCGTCAGCCTTGAAACAGATTCTACCTGTAGCTCATGATTCCACATCATAGCTCAGCCGCATCCATTCTTAGAAGTCCATTCAGCTTGTTTCTGAAGCAGCTTGGTGAGGCAGCTGGCTCCTTCGGCTGGCTTGAGTTTCCAAGCTGTCAGAAACTTTCCTCTCATCCCACCACTGCCTCAGCCAGCTGCCAGTTGCAGCTCCCAGGCAGTTGAGCAGGTAAATTTTCACATTGATCCTGATAGACCAATGTGAATGTGCAAATTTAGCCCTTGGCTCTGAGCGGAAGAAGGAAGAGGGTGTTTACAGAGCTGGGGCCACACCTTTTCTGGAGCGGTGAGGGGATGCTGGGTTATACTTTTTTTCCTTATGTATTTATTTATTTATTTACATCCCAAATGCTGTTCCCTCTCCTGGTCCCTCCCTCCATCCCCTTCCCCTTCTCCTCTGAGGGTGGGGCTTCTCTGGGTATTCCCCTACCCTGGCACATCAAGTTTTTGCCAGATTAGGTGTATCATCCCACTGAGGCCAGAATAGGCAGCCGTTATTATTATTTTTTTATATTTAACTAATTTTTTTTACTTATTAACTTTTTACTTACTGACTTTACATTCCACTCAATGCCTCTGCCCCCGTCACACCCTCATACAATTCTTCCCCCATTTCCTTTTCCTCTGAGTGGGTGGAGCTCCCCATGGGTATGTCCCCCACCCTTGCACTTCAAGTCTCGGCAAGGCAAGGCTAGGTGCTTCTTCTCCCAGGCAATAGCTTTTGGGATAGCCCCAGCTCCAGTTGTTCAGGACCCACATGAAGGTCAAGCTGCACATTTGCTACATGAGTGCAAGGGGTCTAGGTCCAGCCCGTGTATGTTCTTTCAAGGGTCCAGGTTAGTTGACTCTGTTGGTTTTCCTGTGGAGTTCCTATCTCCTTTAGGGCTGCCATCCTTTCTATTCTTCTGTAAGAGTCCTCAAGCTCCATCCACTGCTTGACTATGGGTGTCTGTATCAGTCTGAGCAGCTGCTGGGTGGAGCCGCTCAGAGGACAACTTGCTCCTGTCTGCAAACATAACAGAGTATCATTACTAGTGTCAGGGACTGGTGCTTGCCTATGGGATGAGTTCAAGTTGGGCCACTGGTTGCTCTGGCAGTCTCTGCTCCATCCCCAGTCCCTGCATTTCTTGTAGACAGGATAAGTTTTGGGTTGAAAGTTTTGTGGGTGGGCTGGTGTCCCTATCTCTACACCAAGGTTCCTGCCTGGCCACAGGAGGCAGCCTCCCCAGGCTGCATATCTCTAATGCTTTCAGTCACAACTAAGGATATCCCCACTGATTCTTGGGTGCCTCCTCTGTCCCAGGGCTCAATCTCTTCCTGGAGATGCCTCCTACCCCTCATCAGTTGCAGATTTCCATTCATTCTCATGGCTATCTGGCCATCCCCCTGCCTCTTCCTACACTCGACTCTGAACTCTCTACTCTCCTCCCCATTCTCTCTCCCACTCAGTTTCCTCCCTCCATTTGCCATTCCATTCCCCCTTCCAAGTGAGACTCAAGCATCCTTGCCTGTGCCTTCCTTCCTGTCTAGCCTCCTTGGGTCTGTGAAGTGTAGCATGAGCATCCTGTATTTTATGGCTAATATCCACTTATAAGTGAATACATACCATGAATGTTCTTTTGAGACTGGGTTACCTCACTCAGGATGATATTCTCAAGATCCATCTATTTGCCTGTGAAATTCATGATATCTTTTCTTTTTCACAGCTGAATAGTATTCCATTGTATAGATGCACCACATTTTCTGTATCCATTCTTCAGTTGAGGGACATCTAGGCTGTTTCCAGTTTCTATCTATTACGAATAAAGCTGCTATGAAAATAGATGAACAAGTGTCTTTGTAGTATGGTAGAGCATCTTTTGGGTATATGACCAGGTGTGGTCTTGAGGTAGAACTATTCCCAGTTTTCTGAGATCTACCAAATTGATTTCTAAAGTGGTTGTACAAGTTTTCACTCTCACCAGTTTCCCCTTATTTCACATCCCCCAGGAAGCCATTATTAATGATACTCTGTTATGCTTGCAGACAGGAGCCTAGCATAACTGTCCTCTGAGAGATTCTATCCACCAGTGGACTGAAACAGATGCAGAGACCCACAACCAAATATTAGATAGACATTGGGTACACTTAGGGAAGAGTTAGGGGAAGGATTAAAAGCCTTG